ATATATATATATATACAGTATTTAAAAAATATATATATACGTATTTCTCTCTCACCCAGTAGTGGGATCGACCAAATAGTTTTCTATATTGTTTTGTTCTGGCTGCTGTATATCGCACACTGTTCCCTATGTAAAAGCAGAGATAATTATAAATAAATTTTATTTTGTATATATATTTTAAATTGTGCAGTAAAAAGTACATCTTTACCGTTGCATCGGAATCAAATATATTTTCATCTTCCTCGTAATCTTCCGGTACAATTTCCCTTAACATATCATCTAAAGGAGAAGGCTCTGGAATATACGGACCACCATCAGTACGGCGTAATGATCTTTTATGAGCTGCAAAATTTTTCTTTGCTTGCATTTTCCATCTTTGATATGCACCGTGTACGTCTTTCCAATCGCGTTTAACTCCTCTGGAGGAAATAGTATTGGCAATTATTTTCCATTTTTCCTGCCTAAGATTCTTATTCTTCATACTATTGCTTTTATCTTCCAGAATACTTTTATTCTGAAAGACAAAATCAATTATTATTTTTTTCTCATCAGCAGAAAAATTTTCCTTTCTTCTGTCCGTCATCTATAAAAGAAAAAATACTTATATTTATGAAACTTATGCATTAATAACAATTACTAACAGGAAAAAGCATGAAAATATTTTCCTCCTTTGATAAGTTTTTAATTTGTTATTTTGTAGAAGATAAGGAACATGAATTTGTATTTTGAAAAAAAATTCAGATTAGGGGAGCATTCCCCAATGATCTTGACCTTGACATATGTTGTAAAGGTTATGACTCTGAGTGACCTCCAACAGGTTTTAGCTATCAGTCGTTACTAATTAAAAAATTAATAAAAAAAAGTTTAAAAAATAACGTTTTATTTCTGCTATACTATATAATGTTAAACACTATTCTATATCTTTCCTTGCTTATGTAATGACTTTTCACGCAAAGCGATTTTCTTCATCCTACCTCCCCTCTTGTTTGAGGGACGCACGACTTTTACGTAAAATGAGAAGGTGGAATGGGAGTCGCTTTGCTGGAAGTCGTGCGTCTCCAAGTAGGGAGGGAGGTGAGGTGAGAGTCGCTTCGCATGAATAATCATAAAATATATTTTTAAATATGAAATTTTTGTTCTATATAGTAAAAAAAAAACATATTTATATAATGAAAAGTATTTTTCAAACTTTCCTCCTTCAAAGAACTAGCGACGGCTAAAATCTATTGGAGGTCACTCAGGGTCATGACCTTGACAACATACGTCAATATCAAGGTCGTTGGGGGATGCGACCCTAATCTGAACTTTAACCTTTATTTTAACAAATTGTTTGAAATTATAAAGTACTTTTGAATTCAACTATTATCTCAAATATTTTTTCTATTATAATTTTGACGATATTCGAATCGAAATAAAATAACCTAACCTAAAAAGAGAGCTTCTTCACTGTGTAGCCGGACACGTGTACAAAAATACGCATCTCTTATTTTTATTTAGAAAACATTTTCAAAGCTTGAAATCAGAGAGGCACTTCCATGCCTTTTTTTGTAAGTAAG